CCATCAGGTGGGCCGTCAGCTTCTTTGCCATTCTAAGTTGTTTAAAAAAAACCAATTCTATCTAAGCTGTAACTAACTCGCCTACGAACTACAAATGCACGCATTGAGATTCGTCAAAGTCGCTATTCGAAATCCATTTAAAAATCATCGTTGCTTTCCTGGTAGTGAAGTAAATGTGTTCATGTTATGTGTACTCTCATTAAACTCACATTTGTAATACAATCCTATGTCATAATTGTTTTAAGTACGCGCGAGGTTGATGACTTATTAAATCTGTATATTTTAATAAAATTATAGAGTGCTAGTGGTCGTTCCGTGGTCGAAATTCGACCATAACATATATTGTAATAAATGAATCTATTATGGTTATGTTTCACATTCAGTAAGACTATAGACAAGTAATATTAACAGACAAACAATATTAATCTATTCTCGATTTGACCACAGACTTTAACAATAAACAAAAGAGTACATATATATGCGTGTGTGTGTCAAACACATGGAAGTGTGTGTAATAAAAAAGTGTGTGATTTAATTTTTTTTTTTTAATTGATTTTTATGCTTAATTAAAAATAAAATATTTCTATTCTGCACTCTTTCTCTATATAAACTACAAGTGTGCCAAATTTCATACTAAAAATAAGTACAAAACGTAGAAAAAAGTAAAAAGAAGTACAAAACATTTAGCCTTTGTTTTATTTCATTAGGTTCATAAATAAAAAAGGTGTATCAATCTAAAGAATAACATACAAAATGCTATAAAACGATGGATGAATACATATTTATAACTTTTTAATTGTCAAAAACTATTTAGAAGAGACTTGGTACACGAGTACATTGTATCCTAACTTAGGATACTTCATGTACTTACTCACGCGAGTAAAATCGCGGGATACAACTAGTTTTTAATAATACTAGTATAATAAGTGTGAAAGTGAGTATTTTTATTGTTCTTAACTTCTTCTTCTTTTATTGTTGTTTCTTTTATGTTTGTTACCTCTAACTACGTCAGTTGTAAACCGATTTGGAAAATTATTTTTTTATCTGAAATAAATATATTTACTGATTATGGTATTGTTCATGTCTATAGGCGACGGTTATCACTTTCCATCAGGTGGGCTGTCAGCTTGTTTGCCATTCGAAGTTGAATAAAAAAAACATTCGTGCCTTCTTGTCTTCTCCATCCAAAAGTTGTCTGGAAAAGATCGCTCTTAACGATAAGGTTTGTGTTTATAATAAGTCTACTATTGTAATCTTATGGAGGAAACAATAAAGAGTATCTATCTATCTATATCTAAAGATGATGGCCTCTAACCAATGCGTGTTACCAGTAATAAACCTATTTATATATTTATTTATTTCTGTGGTACATCAACAGATTACAAACAAAACTTTAAACAATAGAATACAACAATAGCATTATAAGTTTTCAATCCAATCATAGTTGTGCTCAACATTCACGGAGATGAAACAGAATTGGTTGATTTTTAATACAAAAATAATGAATGATATAAACTACATACAAAATTATATACCTATGGAACCGAAACATTAAAATAATAGACAGCACCATAAAATCATTTCAAAACAACATAAAACGACATTATTTACTAAAAGTGTCTTAACGATGGCACCTAGTATATATAATAAATTACCTAAATCCCTCACAGACATAGATGACATAAAAAAAATATAAAACTAAACTGTATGAATACCTAGTAAACAGAACATACTATTCAATTGACGATTTCCTTGAAGATAAATGTAATAAATTTCCATAATTATATTTTTTTACTATAAATGTGACATTGCTGATTTCTCTTTTTATATAATTTTTTTTATTTATATAATTGCAAATTTGTATACCTCGATAGATGGCGTTGATCATAGAGGACTTATATTGTTTTACCATCCATTGTTACCTATGTATCACAAAATAAATAAATAAATTAGATAAAGTGACGACCATATATGTATTGCAGGGGATTCAGTGGATACAGGTGGCTTAGGACCGTTCCTTATGGCAGTCTATGGGGAGAGGCTTATGTCCAGCAGTGAACTTACAACGGCTGATAAGATAATATGATGATTTTATATTAAATCACACTTTATTAGTAAATAAATTGTATGTGTTGTGATTTGTAAATATATCGATACGTACGTGTAAATATTTATTTGCAACAAATTTCAATTTTTGTCACCGCATAATTAAATTTTTGTTTTGCCAAACGTTGACTGCGAGAGATTGCTATATTCAATAATTACAGTATTAAGTCCATCTTTTGTACCAGACATTTTTTTTTTTGTAAAGTTGTAAATAAATAAATAAACTTTGGAACTAACCTTATAGGAACACTCTCGCTTACAGTTTAACGACGTTACTAGTTAAACTTAAACTATTGTTCTTAGATAAAAGTGTAAGTGAAAATAATATGTTTCGAATGTATTGGCATTTGGCACTAATACGTACAGACAGTGGAACCAATTGGCGTGTTGCAGTGTATTCTACTGACATTAGGCACAAAGGTGAAAGTTTGTGGCGGTATTTTGACGTTTGTTTGTTTATTTATAACACTTTTATGTACAATAGATGCTTAAATTCATCATCATCATCATCATTGTGACAACCATTAACTGTCCACTGCTGAATATAGGACTTTCCCATAAACGGAGGTTTTGCAAGTAACTGCCACGCTTGGCAGGCGCGTTGGTAACTGCAGTGAAGCTTTGCAGATGTTTTAGGAGAGACGTTGCTGCCTATCCCTTGACCAATAAGTTTTCTTAGTTGCCTCTTACAACACCCATGGAAAAGGTCAAAGAAAAAGCTTAAATTGTTAGATACAAATTCCTTTTAAGAAAAAAAGAAATTTAGCAGACACCAATAGTGTCTAACTCGAATACGTTATTGTTCCTGAGGAACATAGTGTTAGGGCAGAAACACGAATGGAACTGACCTTTGTACGGTCTCTATCTGATAAATCTTCTTGTACACAGATCCTCCACTAGATGGAGTAACGACTTCAAATATGTTGCAAGGAGTCAGCGATAAGGAGGTTTTTGATTTTTTCTTTTTTTGCTGACAAGAACGTATTATATTGTTATTGCTTATACAGTTTCTCTAATCTATGGTATACATAGATCAGATATTTTTTTTTGGATTACAGACATCTTTCTAACGTGTTCTACTCTGTTCTCGTCGTCATTGATTTCACTACCTTATTTTTTTAAAATATAGTGTCATAATGAAACCAAAAATGTTTCCTATTTTGGCTAACCCATAACAGCCGGGGGTAAAGAAATTGTTAGTAATGGGCTCTAATTGCCCCACTGCTAGCAATATACCCTATCAGGTCGACCTCCACGTGGTTCCCCTTGTAAACCATCGTGGTTAATTCTAGTGTAATTCATCACGATGGGCTAACTGGTCTGCTTTCGTCGTCACCTATCACCTCTTACTGGTGTCGTGTTAGCGCAGGTGGGGTTACCATTTCATTATCATCCATTTTAAAAAAAAACCTATAACAGCCCACAATATAAAACTTGATTAAGTATATAATTTACATAACACAGGTTTTTTTTTTGTGTCACAGCGCACCTTTTCATTATATCGGTGAAAGAGGGAAACCCAATATCCTTGAACGCGACACCACGTAAAAGTTCACGATCCTAATTGTGGGGGACACTTTCACTCTGTCACTAACGTGTGCTAACGGGGTCGCAGTGACACACAGGCGGCGCGTCAACACGCCTTACACTAACACGCGTCACGCGTCACACGTCATATCCTTGTTCAGCGATGAGAAGATCTTACTTACTCCGCAAAATATTACGATTTTAATCGTGACAAAATACACCGATAAACGAAATATTTCGATGACGCATTAGAAGATATGTCGAAGTAACCAGAGGGAGACTTTGTACAAAAGTCGTTTGCTTGAGCACCTCTGTCCCATTCGTGTTTCTAGCGTGAAGCAGTTGTGTTTTTTTTTAATAGGTGATAATGGAGTGGTAACCCTGCCGGTGTATACCGATAGCGCAGGTTACATTACCCCGCCCGTTACGTTACGTAACCCCGCCTGCGCTATCGGTATACACCGGCGGGGCACCAGTGAAGGATAATAGGTGAGGATGAAGTAGGTCAGTTAGCCTATCGTGACGAATAGAACAAGAATTGTTGACGATGGTTTCCAGAAGGAACCACGTGGAGGTCGACCTAATAGGGCATATTGCTAGCAATGGGGCTGTCAAACTCCATTGCTAACAATCTCTTTCTCCCCAGCAGTTGTGTTTGCACAGCTGTATTTCAGTTTGAAGGGTGAGGTATGGCAGTGAATTTACAGGGTACAGAGGAATAACACCTGAGTCCTCAGAAATGGCAACGCATGGAGGGTATCATGGGGGGAACAGTATACTCTGTTATGTCCATGACACTGCTCATGTCTATAGGCGACGGTTACCACTTACCATCAGGTGGGCCGTCAGCTTGTTTGCCATTCTAAGTTGCATAAAAAAAGTTAGCGGCAATTCTGCGTGTTTATAATAGTTCGGTTACAAGCAGATATTTGCTTCGTGAAGAAAGTCCGTCGATTTAATTGTCATAGAGTTAACATTCTGTATTTTCCTTCAATATTTTTTTTTTACTAATCATCATCACTGCACAGTCTAAAACAAAGTCGCTGTCTAAATCTTTAAAACTAATAAAGCTAAAAACTAGTAAAAATCTTTAAATTTAATGTTTGTATTGTCTAATGACTTTGTGTTGAATCTTATATAAATGCCGGATATATAAGGTAACGAATATAAAAATATATAACTGAATTGAGAACCTCCATCTTTTTAAATCAATCGAAAAGTATCAATCGATCAATCGATCTCCTCACTATTTCCCTATTTGGAGTCAGACCTCTTGATATTTTTACCCTATTATTAACAGTTTTAAGTCATCATCGGTGTTAAGCTTTTTGTGAAAAATAAAAAAAAATAGATATATATATATATACCTTGCATATAGTCCATATTGAATATGACCGGACCAGCCGTCACTGTGTTCAAATGAAACAACACTTGTATCACAAATAATGCAAATGTAAAATTCAAACATATAACACGAAACGTGTTTACGAATCTCACTATATGACACATTCTGTTCGTATTGTTAACACTTGACACTTTCTCACTATTACCCGGTACATATTGGTGAGCACTAGGATGGCTGTAGGGCCACGTGCTGATAGGTGGACCCATTTTTGATTGGCTACAGGTTTTTACGGTTCATTTTTCAATTGGACAGTTGTGTTCCTGTAACAAAGAAATGAATTTGTTTAATCATTAACGAAGACAGCACGAATTAATGAAAATTGTTTTTAATAAAAATTATAACAAAAAAAAAAGTCTGAAGAAAAAAAACACACATTATTTATTTATTTATTTTAATTATACTTGTACAAAGGTGTAGCACTTATAATTATTACAATGAGTTAAAAGAGGGGAAAGAAGGGATTGTTAGCTGTGTTAGATGGATGTGCTAGTTGTTAGATTGGAGTTTGACAGCCCCATTGCTAGCAATATAGGGCATATTGCTAGCAATGGGACTGTCAAACTGGGCTGGGAAGGGATTGTTAGTAATAGGGTCAAATAGCCCCATTACTAGCAATATACTCTGTCAGGTCGACCTCCACGTGGTTCCCCCTGGAAACCATCGTGAACAATTCTTGTGGAATTCATCACGATAGGCTAACTGACCTACTTCATCCTCACCTATCATCCCTCACTGGTGCCCCGCCGGTGTATACCGATAGCGCGGATGGAGCTACCATTCTATTATCATCCATTAAAAAAAAATGAGTTGAAAGAACTTATAGTACCCACACCAAAAGAGGGTTGACGTCAGGCAGGCGGCCGGTTGTAAAACAAAAAGCCAAATCTTTTTGTAATATGGATAAAAACATTATGCCGACCCCAAATAATAATTGGGATATGGGTAGGAAGATGATAGTACCCACACACTTATACAAGAAACAGGGTAATACTAAATCTGAATTAATATTAGGTACTTAGGATATATAAGATATCTTATTATATATATTGTTTTAAAACATTTATTTTACACATTCAATGATTAACGCTTTAATTCACGAGCAGCATTCACTTTTTAAATAATTGATTAGAAACGAAAAAAAACTTTTCTTTTTTTTTAATTGACAGATATTTGCGACATTTCCACACTTCGGTGACTTAAAGTTATGAATATTCTATCTTTCAATATACTGTAAAATAATATAATATTGTGTTTTATAAAAAAATTGACTTTAATTGTAGTAAAACCAGTTATTTTGATTTAAAAACTAAACTACTAAATCGATTTTGATAAAATTTCTATGGAATCAAACTGTAAGTTACATACTTCCAGATAACAAAAGAATTTTCCAAATCTGTTTACAATTGATAGAGTTATGGGGTAACAAACATGAAAAAATACAACCGAACTGTATGAATCAATTTCTATTTGAAAACGGTTGAAAATACAGTCGAATTTGGAACATCTTCGTTATGGGAGTCATTCAAAAATCGAACACAAAGTTTTGAGCAAAAATGTTACAAAAAAAAAACAAACGCTTCACGTCTTACCTGTGAGATACTCAAATGAAATGACCAGCCGGCATTCCTGATTTTTATATAAGTATGTGTAATGTGACTCATAGACTTGGAGACGGGATTCGTCATCATACAAGCCAAATAAAAAAAAAATACTTTGCTAATATTATAAACTAGCTGCCCGCTCCGGCTTCTATATATTTATTAATATAATATAATTCTATATATTAATACGTGAGGCAAAAACTTTGTACCCTTTATATGAAAATAGCTCGGACGGAGAAGTATGAAATTTGGCACACTTATAGTTTATATAGAGTATGAGTGTATAACGCTAACATTTTTTTTAAATTAAGAATAAAATATATCTTTAATCAGTAAAAAAAAAAATTATACACACTACCATGTATTTGTCACACACACGCACATATACTCTTTTGTTTATTGTTAAAGTCTGCAGTTAAATTGAGAATAAATTAATAAAATGAAAGAATTTTCAAAATCGGTCGAGTAATTTTATATAATTGTGTAATCTTCATTATGATGTTGTTCTGTCAGATGTAATATGTATAATTTATATTATTTCTCTTAAAGAGCGATTGTATTTAACTAATGATATTATTTAAATGAAAGGTTTGTTTAGTGTATGTGTAAATAAATAAATAAAGAATTTTTGACTTTATCCATTACAAACAAATCAAAACCAGTTAATTTTATTTAAAAACTAAACTACTCAATCGATTTTGATAAAATCTCTACGGGACCAATCTGTAAGTTTATTTATTTATTTTATTTATTTAAGTAAGTATATCCTTTAAGTTTTTTTCTTAATGAGTGATAATGAAATGGTAAACCCCGCCTGCCCTATCGGTATACACTAGCGGCACACCAGTGAGGGACAATAGGTAACGATAATAACAGGTCAGTTAGCCCATCCACCAGAATTAACCACGATGGTTTCTAGGGAAAACCGCGTGGAGGTCAACCCGATAGGGTATATTACTAGCAATGGATTCATTAGACCCTATTAGTAACAATACCTTTTCCCCATATCCTTTCAGTTAAAAAAACAGTTTGTTAAATCGGTTTAGAATTGACGGGGTTATGAAATAACAAACAAATTACAAGTCTCAATACGTAAACATTACAAGTGAAGAAGTATATAATTATATGTATAATATATATATATATATATATATATATATATATATATATATATATATATATATATATATATATATATATATATATATTATACGTAAGCAAATTTAAAAGAGCAACTATTGGGTTTCTTGCGGTCTCATCTCAGCAGATAACTGCATTCCAAATCTAGCAGTACAATAATAAAAAAAAACTGAAGACTCAGAAGAGCTCGTAAACAAGTTTATTTGAGTGGAGATCATTCCTGTTCTAAACATAACAAAAGTCCATGTAAACTGGCATTGCGGACTCAAACCAACGACCCCGCGAACGGCGAGAAAACAAGCCGCACCGGCTGCGCAGGATTCACTAACTGTATTTATAATACTTCCTGACGGCGCGGCGTACGGATAATAAATACTGGAAACTAGCCCGGTAGGCGTGAGGGACCGAGATTCGATCTTAGTTGCGTGCTTCATTTTGTCTTACTTATATATTTATTCGTTATTGCACAGTATAACTTTGTACTGTACTTTAGTCGCATGGTCCCGGTATAGAATTGGCCATCCCTTCCTTTCTGGGTGTCGTAAGAGATGACTATGAGAACTTAATAGTCATAGGATGGGCAGCAGCGTTTGTATTAAACATCACCAAAGCCTAACAGCGGTTGCCAATCCGCCTGCTATGTCTGGTGACTAGCTAGGCAAAATTTCCCAATAGGGGCAGGCTGGTGTTCAACGGTGGACAATTAATGGCTGATATGATGAAGTCTAGTCTAAAATATAATTAGAGATTAACTGTCAAGGATAGGCATGAGAAAGGAGTTTCACAATCTATCTTTATGTTATCGCAGTGTGCGTGAGTGTGTGCGCGCGTGTGTGTGTGCGTGAGTGTGTGCGTGAGTGTGTGCACGTGTGTGTGTGTGTGTGTGTGTGTGTGTGTGTGTGTGTGTGTGTGTGTGTGTGTGTGTGTGTGTGTGTGTGTGTGCGTGCGTGCGTGCGTGCGTGCGTGCATGCGTCCGTGCGTGTCTGTGTGTGAATGTACAATGTTTTCGCTATTTTGTGGAGAACATTTTATACTTTATTATATGTAAATAGCACATATAAACACATATTTAAAAAAATTACGTTAAGTCAAGTTTCATTATTTATTTTCTTCCACCAAACCTTGCTTGTGTGCGCGTTTCACAATATATGTATATGCAAGAGTTACCTTTTACTTTTCGAAGTCGGTTAAAAGCTATGCACTTTCATGATTACTACAAATTACTATAAATAAGCTGAAGGGTTGCTATAAAAAGCAAATTGTGTCTAATTGTATGTAAGTGCAGAGCTCGTTACCGCTAGGAAAATAAGACGACCGTTACCGTCGACCCGGATGGCGTCGCCGACCGGTCGCCAGTGGCCGGCCGGTTGCATTGCTGGATTACCAATTTTTGTATTATCTAAGGCGATTAACACACGGGGCGGTGACACGCTGCACTATCATATGAAACACATAAAAACATACAAAAATATAGTATGTGTGTGTGTGTGTGTGTGTGTGTGTGTGCTTGCGTGTGTGCGTGCGTGCGCGCGCGCGTTTGTGTGCGTGTGTGTGTATACGTGTGTGTGTATGTGTGTGTATGTGTATGTGTGTGTGTGTGTGTGTGTGTGTGTGTGTGTGTGTGTGTGTGTGTGTGTGTTTAATAGATGTTTACTTAGACAAACCCGTAACCGTTGTAATAGGGGTATTGGGAGGCTTTGCCAGTAGTTACCACGCTTGGTAGACGGGTTGGCAACCGCCTTGGTAATATTTTAAGAAGGACACTGCTGCCCACCCCTCGAGGGAACTTAATAAGTTCCCTTAGTTGCCTCTTACAACACCCACAGTAAAGGAAGAGGCGGACCATTATATGTCGAGACCATGCGTCGGTAAGAGTAGACCTAAAGAGCATCTTCTATCCTTATAAATATTATTTATTTATTTGCATGTGTAAGTATTATATGTATGTATGTATATGTAAGTTAATTATATTTATATATATGTCTATACATATAATTAAATCAATTAAATATGATATAAACTAAATTTGTAAAATTTTGTTTGTTTGTAAATTGTCACAATATTGTACACCACTCTACTTGCGGACATTGATGCTTCTTTTCACTTTGTGTGTTGCTGGAAGAGAACTCTTTTAGAGTTAAGTTCGCCTTTGTGCATTTACTTTCCACTGTTATATCTCTTTATATATTATTTCTGTGTAAAATAAAGTATATAAATAAATAAACAATAAACGACGTGATGTTTCGTAGGTACCTCTCCTTGTAAATTTTTGAATTTCGAACGCAATATCGTAACGCGTTGATGTCTTTAATAATAGTAGGTAATTCTTTTAAACAGCTTTGATATAATTTTTAGTATATTCAAAGATTTTTTCATAATAAAAATTTTGGTAACTGTAGCTTGTTAATTGGCCTTAATATTAATATTTATTAGTATATAAGTAGTATATAAAATATAGGGAGCAATAGAAAAAGAAAATATACTGTGACGAATTTTTTTTTATGCAACTTAAAATGGCA